CTTCTCTGCACTGCTCCTCAACACTTCTCTCCACTGCTCCTCAACACTTCTCTGCACTGCTCCTCAACACTTCTCTGCACTGCTCCTCAACACTTCTCTCCACTGCTCCTCAACACTTCTTTTGCACTGCTCCTCAACACTTCTCTGCACTGCTCCTCAACACTTCTCTGCACTGCTCCTCAACACTTCTCTGCACTGCTCCTCAACACTTCTCTGCACTGCTCCTCAACACTTCTCTGCACTGCTCCTCAACACTTCTCTCCACTGCTCCTCAACACTTCTCTGCACTGCTCCTCAACACTTCTCTGCACTGCTCCTCAACACTTCTCTCACTGCTCCTCAACACTTTCTCTCCACTGCTCCTCAACACATATTCTTGAAATGCGTCCTTTTGAACACTGGTTCCACTGTGCACACTTCTTTTGCACTGGTCTCAACCTTCTCTACTGTTCAACTTTTCTCACTGCCCTTGTATACACTTCTTCTTGCACTGCACCTTAACATGCCCTTGTTATTCTTGCACCGCGCTAATTGATATCAGGTTTCCTAATCACAACATTTTAAATGGTCAGCCCTAAAAAAATAAAGCCTTTTTTAACTTGCACCTGACCTGGTGTTGGTCATCACTGGTGCAACCATGTTTATACAAGGTGACCGGGATTAATCATTGGGTTGTTAGTATCACCCTATCCGATTCAGGTTTAAAACACTAATATCCCCGCCCAATAAATGAATAAGCAGTTCATTATCATCATCTGGAAAGTGGTGGGAGACGGCAAACCGTCGACAGGGGCGACCAGGTGGGTGTAACTAGTTAGTATAACCGTTCCCGGTGTAGGGTAATCTCCCTCCCTCCTGGACCCCTCCAGAGTAAGCCAGTTCCATCAAACCCCCCAAATTCGTTACGGGAAGCCCTTCTAGCCCCCTCCTTCTATGGGCGATCCGTTCTCAACTCTTTAGCTCAGGCTCGGCGTCCGGTTGCCTCCTCCACACACTACTAACCCCTCCAAGCACCCGTTTCCACACTCATTTCTAGCTAAGTTCTCCCTACTCACATAACAAATTTAGCCTCATTCAAGGCTATACCTATGACCAGCCGAAAACTTTATCCATTAACTCGTAATACACACGACTGACCGTCATTAAACCACCCGTTAGTAGCTATCTTCATAATATTCTCCTACTCACAAAAAAATGTCTAATTGCAAATTCCATAGTACAAATGGGAACCAGTACATCCTAATTAATTCTGAAAAACTTTTAATTCATTAACAAAAATCAGTAAATTTTTTAAAGTAAGACAAGACGCTTGGGTGCGGGTTTATGAATTACACCAGCAAGAATGCAATACATACTTTTTTTCAAGCCCCGACGCCAAAAAAAAATTCCTAAATTCTTAGTGTCCATTAAAATTTAGTGGAGTCTTGTGGTTTTGACTCTTCCAGCTCGAAAGCTTTACTTTATTCTAGAATTTTGATGTTTTTTTGTAACGAATAAAATTGCTTCCCATCAGTTTGTGGTTCTGTGATTATAATGTTTTAAAAGGTCAAGAAGCAAAATTGATGTAGTTCTCCCATGTTATCCCGCTTTGAATGCCACTACAGCCTGGGTTGGTTTTTTATCACGCACTCCAACTTAATTTAAAATAGGTTCTCTTAATGTCCAGGAAGTAAGGGGTGAGGACATTCTTGAGTTGGAGGGGCCTGATGTGCCTACTTGACGTCTCAGCTCTTGTAAAGGCTGACTTATGTGGCTAGTCTTTTTTATTTTATGTAACTTTTTAATACTTGTTATAGAAATTCGTGGTTCTGCTGATTTTAATGTTTACTAAAAAATCATAAACTAAAATTTTAATAGTTGCTGCCTGTGTCCGCTGTCCTGAAAGTCTCTAGCACCGCCCGCTGGAGCAATTTAAATTTTATCTCGCTCCAAATTTTTAAATAGATGTTTTCTTCATAATGCTCCTGAGGACAAGTGAGGTGTGACTAGCATAAACTATCACGACGGTAATGAGAACAGGTGCAGCACAGCTAGCGGCCTAGTGGTTACGATCTTCATGTCGCTCGAGAATAAACCAGACTTTAGTACTAGCTTATAAATAACATAATTAATTAAAAATAATACTTTTTGATAATCACTGGCTGATGCATGATTAAATATATTCATATGTTTGCTTACTCTGGGTAATAGTTGCTTTAATTAAATAATTTTACTTATTCTGCATGATGCTAAATAATGCTGTGCATATTTAAGCCTTACTTATTATTTTTAATTAGATTTAACAATATCTGCACTATTACAGAGCTCATAATAACACAGATATGTAAGTGATTTTGTGGGAGACATGCATGGTGACGGTTCATCCAAAACTCCCAGTGAGTGTGTATAAACACTAGGTATGACTGGTAAATATGTGACAGAGGTTCAGCTGGCTGGGTCCTCCCTCGGCAGGGAGGCAAGGCTGGACCCACACCAGGAGACCCAAGGTAACATTCTCCAGCTGCTGACTGATGCACCTTCACACCACAGTCCTCACTGCTCACACTTAGAGAATAAAATCACATTGCAACCCGACCCTCTTAAGTCTCAGCAACGCACTGTACACTCAATAAACGTTTTTATTGATATATATATATATATATTATATATATATATATATATATATATATATATTATATATATATATATAATATATATATATATATAATATATATATATATATATATATATATATATATATAAAAATATATATATATGCAATAAGATCACAGTAAACAGGTGATTTCAGAATATGCAAAACAACCACTCTGAAAGAATAGAGAAATTCCAAGCGCTTTCGTGACTACTCACATTATCAAGGAACCTATGAAAGTAAAGCATCCAAGGAAGCTATATAAGGGGTCTGGCCAGCACCTCACTATCAGATCCCACAACGGTTAAACACCTGACGCGCGCCGACCCAACTGGATAGGTCCTTTGCACAACTCACCCACAAACTATTCTACCCAAGAAAATTTAAAAATTATTATTTGTACAGTGTATTATTAAATTCTTCCTAAATTCTATTAATTATAAATGGATCTAATTTATATAAACCAAAGGAAATATTCATATTATTGTCAAAACTGCTTTTTATGAAACAAGATTCAATTATATTCCTGTCGACCATGACTTGCTTGATACTACTTTCTCAACTTTTTGAAAATCAATTGGATGGTTAAAATCTTTACATTAGAACTGGACAAGATTCCAATGTTCTATTTATTCATGTAAGAGATTTTAACCATCCAATTGATTTTCAAAAAGTTGAGAAAGTAGTATCAAGCAAGTCCATGGTCGACAGGAATATAATTGAATCTTGTTTCATAAAAAGCAGTTTTGACAATAATTGAATATTTCCTTTGGTTTATATAATTTAGATCCATTTATAATTAATAGAATTTGGGAAGAATTTAATAATACACTGTACAAATAATAATTTTTAAATTTTCTTGGGTAGAATAGTTTGTGGGTGAGTTGTGCAAAGGACCTGTCCAGTTGGGCTCGCGCGCGTCAGGTGTTTAACCGTTGTGGGATCTGATAGTGAGGTGTTGGCCAGACCCCTTATATAGCTTCCTTGGATGCTTTACTTTCATAGTTCCTTGATAATGTGAGTAGTCACGAAAGCGCTTGGAATTTCTCTATTCTTTCAGAGTGGTTGTTTTGCATATATATATATATATATATATATATATATATATATATATATATATATATATATATATATATATATATATATATATATATATATATATATATATATATATATATATATATATATATATATATATATACCTGAATTTTAACATTTTCATTTTATTTTTATTTTTATTAGTTTGAGACAGTGATTGTTTAGGATTACAAATATAATCTTCATTAAAATTTTATCATGTTTTAGATTAAAATTCAACAAGGTGGAGGCTGGTCATTTAAACTATGATTATCTACTACGCTCGTTGTTTGTATATATATTTACATTATACCTCTGTATATGATAGGAACCCTTCTGTAACATGAACCTCTAAATAATCAGAGCATGTGCTTTACCTATTAATAGTGTAAATCTGTTTTTTTTTTGTGTGTGTGTGTGTGTGTAAAAAAAATAGTCTTTTTAAATAGTAGAATGTCATAACTGCCAATGATTGGACATTTGTTTGATAACAGAAAATGTACTGTAGAAATTTCACTTATGTAGTAACTATTAGACAAATATATTTTACCTGTTTTTTTGTCTCCCAGAAAGGAAGATTGAACAATGTGTCTTCTTTTGAAATACCTTTAAAAATCTGTGTCTTAGTCACTGCTTGCTGGAACTCCTCAGTCTTTACTGTTGTTTACCTGCCTCTCCTAGCGCAGTAAAATATTATACAAACCAAACAAACAATGCATCAATTTTAATCAAAGAAAATATAACTGTTATCTGTCACTGTCTAAATGTGTGTTGAAAAAACGCGCACTCAGCATTTAAGAAAAATCCAAGGAAAAACTTGATAGTTTTATTCCATGAAGTACAGTAAACATCAGTCAATACTAAATGTGACTATTAAACATGAGATATATCATCAGACATGCATAAAACAGTTATAATCGCAAACTAATTCTGTACGTCATAAAATAAATTTCACTGGGAGCATTGTGTCCCCCTTGACTAGGCTGGGGTGCTCGAGTAGCTTTAATTCTGACAACAATACGACTCCAGCCGACAGCCTAAGACAGGTGGTCATCTATGCTTTCTCACGGTCGTGTACCATTTCACTCTCAGCAGATGATGCAGCATCTATCTTGCTCTTAAAATAAGTCAGATAGATGTTGTCTATACATTCATTGCTTGCCTCTACTAGTGCGACTAAACTTGAGCAGATGGGGGTAGCATCTAACTCATTTGATGAGTTAGCTGATGTTGTCCCCTGTATGCGGTGCTTGACTTTACAAGTGTGACTAAACTTTTATCTTTCCCACAGGAGGATGTCTGCCATCTGCTTCGTATGTAACCTGCCCATCCTGAGCCACCAGGTTGGTTTGGTGTGGGAGGGAGGCAATGGCTACGACGAAATCCAAAGTGAGAGTTCGTCCCCGAGGCCTCGAGTGGGTCGCCGGGACTCCTCTGCTCAGATCACCACCATCGAGCCTCCTCGTGAGGTTCGGGAGACTTCTCCTCCCACCTCCCGCAGGCGACGATCCTCCCTGGCACAACTCACGGACATCCTGCGGGACTGGGGAAGACGGGATTTGACGGAACAGCGCTCCACCAGTACTTGTACGACAACCACCAGCACCCCTATAGGGCCTCTCACTCGGAGGGAAAGTCGTGATCTTAGCCGGAGAGAGTCTATTGCAGATATTGCAAGGTCTCTGCCATGGCGACGAAAAGATTCCATCGTCGAGGTTCCTCGTATCAAGACCCGACGGGAATCCTCGGCCGAAATGAAGAAGAGGCGGCAAAGCGGCACAGATATTCGGTCAGATATTGCAAAGTTTCTAGCCAGAAGAGAAAGTGTAGCGGAAATTCTCCGTAGGCGTCGAGATTCCCTTGAACAAGAGAAAAAAGAGCGACGTGATTCGACCACTCAGGTATATACTCGGTCGAATCGCAACAGTGTGGACAAAACCTCTTCCCCCGACCGGCCAGAAATACATTCGCCCCGGCATGTTTCTTCCCCTGAGCCCCGAGATTTGACACCGAGAACTATTGTTACTACACAGGTGTCTGCAGAGTCTCATGTTTCGCAAACCTCGCTTGTGTCGCAGATGTCAATAGGTGGAAAGGACTCCACTGAGCCTGGAGCCATAGAGCCTAGGTCTCCAGTGTCTTCTCCGGCACCCTCCTCCCCCACCACAACCATACGTCGAGAATCTACAACACAATTATTCCGCGGTAGAAGAGACTCTCGTCCTCAAGTGTCGCCCGAACGAGGATCGGGAAAAGGCAGTCGAGAACCATCACCAAAGTACCGAGGATTGCGACGACAATCGACTGCAATCGAAGAAGGTCTTCCCCTCCCGGGTTCTCGTCGAGGCTCTCGACCGTTTCTCTCCCCTGACGCTCCAGAAACAGATGGACTGTCCAAAAAGTGCCGACGGGACTCTCTCTCACCGGACTCGGCGGCAGCAGAAGAACTTTCTATGGGTAGAAAGGGAAGACGTGACTCTCGACCTCACTTGTCTCCAGAGGCAAGTGACTCCAACTCCAGAGAAACATCTCCCAGAAGCCGGTTAAGAAGACAGTCCACCACTGCCGCTGAGTATTGTGGACGTGGGCGGAGACCATCCCGTTCTCCCCGCTCCCCAGATTCTTCGTCAACATGCTCTTCCAGGGAACACTCGCCCAAAGAGCGAGGTCTTCGTCGTCAGTCAACCACTGAAGAAATATTACTCTCTCGAGGATTTCGTCGACAGTCCACAACAGAAGACATTATGCGAGCCCGCAATTTCAGGCGTCAGAGCACCCAGAGTGAAGAGATGTCAAAGTCGCGTGGTCGAAGAGACTCAAGCGCCCAGATTACTGACGGCACGTTAGCTACGATGACCGTCGAGACCTCGTGTGCCTTCTTTGACACCTCAACACAAACAGGTAACTTCCATTAGTAATGCACAAATTTATATATACACTTTAAATACCCTGCATGAGAGCCTTTGTTATTTATTCTTCTGTATTGCTGTTTGTATATTTTTTTTAAGTTTTGAATTTCGCACATTAATGAGTTGTAATAAATCACTGCTAAAAATATTATGCCTTTTTTATTCTACTGGGGATATGCTCACTACAGGGCCAAACGTCGTCTTCTGCTCTGTAAATAACTAAAGATAAACCACGGTACGAGGGAGCTAGAACCCATGGCGGGTGAGTCGTAAAACTCCAGGCTAGTGTATGAGCCACTGAGCCAGCTGGCTACAGTAAGATTCATCCAACTAAGTATATTTATACACCATAGGGAGGTTAGCATGGGCCACCACTGTGACCACAAATTTAAGCTTATACAGATGAATCTCCCATCACGGTGGCGGGAGATTCATTTTATTGTAGCCAGCTGGCCCAGTGGCTTACGCGCTGACCTAGAGTTTCACGACTCACTCGTCAGGCGTTTAACCCCCACCCGTTCCGTGGTTTGTTTACAATCGCGTTATTACGATTTCTTGAGTCATAGCTGAAGATACATTCACTATGAGTAGGGATAACCATAACAAACAACCCAACAGGTGTCTCTTGGATCCCTCTCAGTTACCACACAACACAAACCTCCAGTATTCTTCTCGACCTTTACTGCCGTTCATCCTAGTTGAATGGCTATATATATATATATATATATACTCTTGCCTGTGGTCTCAGTCGTCCTAAGGATCACTTTCCAAGTGAATATCCCAGTAAAACATACAAATATGATCGATCTTCGCTTTACTCATACCTTTTCTTAAACTGTTTCTCAACCACTCCAGTCGCAAGACTACTTTTTCAAGCAACTTCTTCTTCTAAACATTAACCCTTTCAAATATTTCTTTATCTTCTTGGGAAACAACCGCTTATATTCACCTTGAATGAACTGCAATAACAACAGATACATTACTGCATGGTCAAATTATTTAAATTATATTGAAAATAGACTAAAAAGTATCGTATCTTCAAATATACAGACACACGTACAGTACATTGACATGCTTAATAGTCCCACTTTGTAGTCTCAGTTTATCCCGGCACTCAGACTTTTGTTTTCAATTGTATACTACACTCGTTAAGGGGCACTTAAGTTCCCCCTTCTTCTAATAACATGTTTATTTTTCCACTATAACCTACCTTGTTCATAATTGCTGTCGCATTTGCTTTGTCTGTTTCGTAAGGTGAAGTCCAGGATCTCTACCACGCAGTTGTCCTCGAAGATTTGTTAAGTTATACCATTAATTACAGTTAAGTTATATCATGAATTAGACGACAGGGACTTCCGTGCCCCTTAAGTTCCATTATGACAGGGAGGGGGGGGGGGTTACTGCATGATCAGCTGTGACTAGGGTAATGTTGCAGAATCTTGTATCAGTGAGAGATGTTCCTTGTTGCATTGTCCTCCCACCTTCACGTTCTCTGTAAGAATGACTTTCTGACCTAACGTTCACTGAAAAAACTACTTTATGTATATGTTCACTGGAAGAATGACTTTCCTGCCTCTGTGTTCACTGGAAGAATGACTTTCCTGCCTCTGTGTTCACTGGAATGATTTCCAGCTTGTGTTCACTGGAAGAATGACTTTCCTGCCTTTGTGTTCACTGGAAGAATGACTGTCCTACCTCTGTGTTCACTGGAAGAATGATTTTCCTGCCTCTATGTTCACTGGAAGAATGACTTTCCTGCTTCTGTGTTCACTGGAAGAATGACTTTCCTGCCTCTGTGTTCACTGTAAGAATGACATTTGCTGCCTCAAAGTTCACTGTGAGAATGACTTTCCCTGCCTCTACGTTCACTGTAAAAGCGACTCTGCCTTCATATTCACTTCAAAAATATTTTTTTGCTTTAATTCTCACTGTAAAAATGACTTTCTGTCTTTCTGTTCGCTGTAAGAATGAGTCTCTGCCTCATATTTGCTGTAAAAACGAATTTCCCGCTGTTACGTTCACCGAAGGATGACTCTACTTTCACGTTCACTGTAAGAATCACTTTTGCCTTTACGTTTACTATAAGAATGACTTTCTGCTTTGACGTGGACTGTAAGAACTGACTTTCTGACTCTTAAGTTCGCTGTAAGAATGACGTTTCTGACGTTTGTTATAAGATGACTTTCTAGCCATTACATTCATTGCAAGAATGACCTTTCCCACCTTTTCGTTCAGTGTAAGAATGACTCGGCGTTCCCTGTACCTCCCGGTTACACCTAGCATGAAGAGTCGAAACACTGGCAAACTCAAGCGTCTTTCATCGTCCTCCAGCTCTCTCTTATATTCAGACTTCTGTTCTGCATTGCCCTATATATCTGCCGAATGAGAGATATGTCTCAGTATAAGTAGCATCCTTCCATTTAATCAATCCAGGTTCACTTTTAGTTCAACTAGCAGGTAACTTTCAGGTATTTCCCTCTCCTATGTAATTCCTTAACCGCGTTGTGAGTTTTCTCACACTACCTGATGCACTAGTAAACTTTTTAGTAACACGGTATTGAAATGGCTTCACCAGTGAACTTTGCAGTGAAAACTATATAAATAACGGCGTCAGTAAGTTTAACAGTGCTAAATTGTATATATAAGTTTTCTTTAAATCAGTCCCCAACACTCGCGTCACCTTGGAAAAATACATTGTTTCTTATGGTTAACGTAGATTGATTTCTTGCAGAACATTAACATAGTTTATCCGTAAAAGATAACTGCTGGTGGTGTGGTTAACAATGCTCCATCATAAATGTTAACATTCATAAATGTTAACATAAATGTTTCACACGTGAATTAGACATTAAGAAACTTCGGCCATCCAGAACAGTTAATTACTGGATCATCAACATAGAGTGAGAGGGTTCGTACCTGGCCTGGTCCACGATCCGTACCTGGTCTGTTCCACGGTTCGTACCTGGCCTGGTCCACGGTCCGTACCTGGTATGTTCCACAGGTTCGTACCTGGCCTGGTCCACGATCCGTACCTGGTCTGTTCCACGGTTCGTACCTGGCCTGGTCCACGGTCCGTACCTGGTCTGTTCCACGGTTCGTACCTGGCCTGGTCCACGGTCCGTACCTGGTCTGTTCCACGGTTCGTACCTGCCCTGGTCCACGGTCCGTACCTGGCCTGTTCCACGGTTCGTACCTGGCCTGGTCCACGTCGACTGGCTTCCACGTTCGTACTGGCCTGTTCCACGTTCTACGCTTCCACGGTTCGTACTGCGTCACAGTTCATATGTCCATAGATGAGACGTCAGCGGACACTGCATGAAACACGAAACGCAGCAGTCACTCATACAGTGAAAAACACTCAGAATTACTGTGATCTCTCTCTCTCTATCTCTCTCTCTCTCTCTCTCTCTCTCTCTCTCTCTCTCTCTCTCTCTCTCTCTCTCTCTCTCTCTCTCTCTCTCTCTCTCTCGTCTTGCTCTTAAAACTCTCAGTACACATACATCCATCATCAATCAACATGTTATGACAACAGGACAATGAAGAGGAGGACGAACATAATGTACCAGCTGGGTGAACATCATAGCGTACCAGCTGGGTGAACATCATAGCGTACCAGCTGGGTGAACATCATAGCGTACCAGCTGGGTGACATACAACACTATAGTACCAGCTGGGTGAACATCATAGCGTACCAGCTGGGTGAACAACATAATGTACCAGCTGGGTGAACATCATAGCGTACCAGCTGGGTGAACATCATAGCGTACCAGCTGGGTGAACATCATAGCGTACCAGCTGGGTGAACATCATAGCGTACCAGCTGGGTGAACATCATAGCGTACCAGCTGGGTGAACAACATAATGTACCAGCTGGGTGAACATCATAGCGTACCAGCTGGGTGAACAACATAATGTACCAGCTGGGTGAACAACATAATGTACCAGCTGGGTGAACAACATAATGTACCAGCTGGGTGAACAACGTAATGTACCAGCTGGGTGAACATCGTAGCGTACCAGCTGGGTGAACATCGTAGCGTACCAGCTGGGTGAACAACATAATGTACCAGCTGGGTGAACAACGACTCACACGATCACTAAATGGAAAACACCTCAGAGAAAACACCATGTTTAGTCAGTCTCCGGAAACACAGACAAACGGAAACATCAACAGGTGAGAACTGACTGCTCTGCGTTTATAAAGACAAAGTTATATTAAGTATCTCGCCGCTCCTGTACTGAACCCTAACCTAACTAAACAGACAAAAACTAGAACAAGTTCTATAGTTTGCTGTCCATCTAGAACAAGATATATAGTGAACGATGTGTTTACCTTAGTTCCTATCTTAGGGATTAAGATACAGTTATCAGGCAGTGAAAAGGCTACCGTGCCGCCTTAATGACACTTGTGGAGGTGATAGGCTTTGAACCCCATTAACAAAGCAACCAAGAAAAGACATGATCGCGACTGGCAACAAACTCTTGAGACACAAAAGATTTTTCATAACGTGATGAAGCAGGACGAGGCGTATGTACATAAATGTAAACAAAACAGCAAGATAAGTCGTGAAGATTTTAAAAAGTATTTAGTCGGTGTTATCGGGGTTGCGCGAAGGAAATTAAAAAACAACGACAGAAAAACTGAGATTTTATATTTTAAAAGTAAAATAACACGACGACTCCATTTAACCCAATTATAAAGAGGGGCCCTGAGTCGCAGATAAACACAAAAATATTCTTATTGGGAAAGAAAAAGAAGTGGAAGCTTTGACCAGGGGGTAAAAATCAATGGCGGTTCAGTTAAATCAAAACCCAAACCCGGGGTAATTGTTGGAAATGTAATGCCCCCAAAAGCTACGTAGTAGTCACTAACAAAAACCCCACTGCTAAATAACAAAAACTCGGAAAGTTATGTGGGGTTGAACTGGAAGCTATTTTAGGAGATGCTGTCTTTTAACAATTATTTAAAGGGGGGTACCAAACAAAAGAAAG